TATCGCTTTTATTTTAAAAAAGAACTTGTTTAGTAGATTCATTTATGCCAAAAATATTATTTATGGCATATTTGATTTGATTATTACAATTACTGAACATCAAATAATATCCATTGTCTTGAGACAATGAGAGGTGCAATGCGGGCCAATCGATCTTGTTTTCCAAGCACATATTTATTTATTTAAACATTTCTTTTACACGCACAGTGAATGCCTGAAGAAAGGACGCTGCAACTTTCCGATCACTGCACGCAAATTTTTTAATCAAGACAAGTTAATAAATTATTCTCAAATATAATGTGAAATAAAACTTTACTTTCCTTGGTTTTACCAATTTTCCTTATATCATGCTGATTTTTGCAGAGAACCAAAACCTCTTTAATTTCTTGTCTAATCGATGTATTTCAATCCACATGTTATGAAAATGCTTTGAATACATGCATACATACATATGCCTTTTGCTGTATCACATATACGAGTGCAATAAAGAAAACCCTGTTTAATACCTTACAAACGTAGTTCTATGTTAATTATCTATAATTAATTGCATTTTGCATAGCAAAGTATAGGCGTGTATTTAAGTATGTGCGTATACATGTAACTTCAGAAACAATGGTATTTTTATCGGCTGGTGTTTACGAAATCTAATACTTAAGGGGTAGCTGCACGCAGCTTCTCTGGAGCGAGATGAGATAAGCAGTTTTAGAAGCGGCTCATTATGCCATCCCCATCTATAAACACATCTGTTAGCTCTACTGGCAGACACGCGACACCGCTATTGGTCCACCCAGGTCCACCTCAGAAATAGGGTTTCGGATGTTACACGGATCCTATTTGTTTATGGGGACGAGTCCTCCCCATTCCATCGTCCTCGCAAGGAAGGAAGAAGGGATATGAAAAAAGTCACAAAGAAAGATCCAGTCCATTTGAAGCGGTCCTCGGTGCATTCGACATTCAGCAGTTCGCTAGCCGTTTTCGTCGCGATAGGATCACGGCAACAGCAGTTAACGATGGAAACTATAACGCAGAAAGTTCAATCCACCGAAAATACCGCAATGGATTATCAGTTGACCATTAGATTGTTAGAAATGCTGCAAAGGACAAAATATGAATTAGTGCAGGAGAACGGACAACGACGTTTGACCGCTCCGGAAATTGTGCGCGGTGAAAAGCAACGCGTAAAGGGTGCCGAAATTTTTCTCGGCCGTTTACCGCGCGACTGCTACGAGGACGAGCTGATGCCGATGCTCGAAAAAGTCGGTCGGTTGGTCGAATTGCGATTAATGCTCGATTTTTCTGGGTCCACGCGCGGGTACGCGTTCGCGTTGTACGAGAGTACGAAAATCGCGAAGAACGCGTGTGCTGTGCTCGATGGGTACGAGATCAGGCCCGGGCATCGTATCGGTGTCGTTAAATCGGTCGACAATTGTCGCCTCTTCTTCGGTGGAGTGCCAAAAGACAAGACCAAGGAAGAATTCATGCAAGAGCTGAGCAAGATGCTCGAAGGAATCACAGACATTTATCTGTACCCAAGTTCGTATGACAAAAGTTTGAATCGCGGTTTCATCTTCGTCGAGTTCGAAGATCACAGAGCCGCTGCAATGGCCAGACGAAAATTGATACCTGGAAGAGTCGTTTTATGGGATCATGAAGTCGCGGTCGACTGGGCCGATCCCGAACCCGGCGATCCAATCGATGAGGAAATTATGAAAAACGTAAGTACATATTAAATTACTCGATTAATTCCGATATTCAGGAGATTCCGTTTTACGAGAGTTTTCGTCTTCTATATACGATTATTTTTTTAATACCGCCCGTAATGCTTCCTGTCGTCCTCAGGTTACTGCTTTGTTTGTACGAAATTTGCCTTTTGACATGACCCAACAAAAAGTTCGCGATATCTTTCAAAAAGCCACACAAATCCCGATTTTGAAGTTAAAGAAAATTAATCACTTCGCGTTTGTGCATTACGAAAACCGTCAAGCAGCGGAAAGTGTAATGAACATTATGACAAGTAAGTTTCTTTAATTCATCCGAAATAGTTTCTTATATCTCATTTCCCGATGCGTGTTTCATTAAAAATACAATGACTATATGCTAGAGCGTAATGGTGTCGCCGAGGCTGAGGGCTGGGAAATTCGTTGGGCAAAACCAATCGGAGCAACAAAAGTATTGGAAAGACAACGGTGTATTAACGAAGCCGTGGCGCAATCGAGACAGTATAAATCATTACGATGTCCAACAAAACAGTCGGACGTTAAACCGACCGTAGATATAAACTCTAATAATGTAATGGACATAGCTGAAATTCACATGAACGGTTTGCAAAATTTTGTTAAGAACACGTTTGACGCCGTTTGCCGTTTTGACTGCGCGCCGTTTGCATCTACTGAAGGTTTTCTGTGCAAGGTAACTGTTAGAAATTCTATATCCATTGCTGCATATTAACATTTATTTTCTTAGTCTCTTTTTACTTTCATTCCGCTACCGATCTTTTTACGATTTGAATTATTAAATATATGATTCGATTTTGGTTATTGTAAAACGACGAACTTTTCGCATGTATAACGTAATCATTTGTTATTTTCTTCGTGCTATTTTTACAGATCACCATTTTTAAAAATGCCATCACTCTGTTTGAATATTATGGCCAGCCGAAACCTACGAAACAGAACGCGATCATCGCGGCATGCACGAAGATGTATGAAATGATTGCTACCACATACCAAAATTGCGGTAAGTAAACTGAACAGAAATTTAATTTTTGTTAAAAACGATGAGAAATAAGTCGGATATATTTTCCTCTCGTCGAATTCGTTAAGAAACCAGTAAAACGTAACCCGATACGTGTCTGTTTTGAGATGGGTATGGTTGATGTAAATGCCATAACTCGCGTTCGCAGAACGAAGTGTGTTTACATAGTTATTTGTGTGTCCACTTCTCTTCGAATGTGCGAAGACTCTTCATTTTAACGTATGTTTTTAAGCATAAAACCACTGATGCTATCATAAATAATTTAATTGTTGTCACACCGACGCATTCTTCAAATGTGTATAAGAAAATTAACAAAACGTGGGCAATGGTGATGGAGTATGTGGTGAATATATTTTTTTTTTAAATAGCATTGCGGAAAAATGAGAAAGTTTCCATGGGGCAGAAATCAAGTCTTAATCCTGCGGTAGGAGCGCCGGTTATCTGGAATAGAGAATAAGACTATAATTTATTTGATTTCATTTTTAAAGAAATGACTTGCAACTTTCTTTTTCTACTACAAATTATTGATAACGTAGAGATCCAACGGAGCATGACTGCTAAATTATCAATGAAATTTTTAAATTTTAAATTCTATGTACTTCTAACAGGGAATGAAGTCTTCGGTAATACATTTTTGCATATCGAATTTTATCCGAATTTTAACATCACATAAGAAAGATAATAATTTGTTCGGACATGTGACTATAATATTTTAATGAGTTATATAGAGCACAGTTTTAAAGGAACATACAATATATTATTGGATGTACCACTTTTTATATCATGAAATAAAGTGTTTTTTTTCTGCGATGTCTATAAAACAAAATATTGAATTCAAATTGGACTTCTGATATAAATAAATAAATAATGAAAGACAGAATCGTAGGTTCTCTACGTTAGATACATATATTTTATGTACGTGTTGAGATAATTTAAAAATTATCGTTACTATTTAAATTACATGTCAATCGGATGTGAGTTACTGATTTTAGTATAGAAGATATTATTTAATTAGATAATTAATAGATCATTGATAAATTAATCAAAAACTCTGTTAATCAAATACGAAACGCGATCAACTTAATCAGAATTATTTTACAATGGAATTTTCGTAATCATATATTGTCTTTTATTTTTTTGTTCGATATTATGTAAACGACGAAAAAATATGTTTTTTTTTTCATAATCAATTGACACAATTGTATGTCAAATAAACATTGATAATAAACAGGCATATTTAATTTTGGTGTGTATTTTTGAAATATATGAATCGTTTTCTTAAAGACTGTATGATTCAAACTTCTATGGGTGGGTTAGTATCTCATACTGGGTAACTGAAATATTTGAACTCTTCTAAGAACTTACGGTTAATGAACGGTTAAGAAAGAAAAAAGAGAATAACTACGTTGAATTTCGAAGTTCTTGGGTAACTGCGCTAAAAAACTTGGTGCAGTTCGTTACACACTTTTAAAATTAAACGTTTCATTAACGTCCAATGTAATCATGATTCGTGACATATTTCGCGAACAACGAAGAAACGATAAACGTATTACCTATTTTAAAAATCCATATTAATAACGGTCAGCAAGGAGCAACGTTATTCGATCTTTAGAATTAAATTTATAATCAGAAATCATACGGTTGTCCTCCATATAAAAACCGCGAAGCCAAAGCCTCATCCTTTCGGGTTTCCATCTTTCACCCTCCTTACGCAGCACGTGCGATATCTTTTGCTTCAAGTAACCGATCGTTTCCGAATAATAAATTGGTATTCGCAAACGCGAGCCTTCGAGCCTGTATATTGTTACAATTGGACGACATCTGCATGCTAATATTTTTTTTTAGAATTTTCTTTACTCAGGAGTTCACAACAACTAACAATATCTATTTAAACATATGCATTACCATCCTGTGGATCGGACGTCATTTTACACGATTTAAATTCCAATCCATTTAACTACAATTTTAATAATAGTCATACATGATTCTCGACAATTTATATACATTTAATTCATAATTTTATTAAGGGTTAAGCAAATATTTTCCTCTCGTGCCCAACTTCCGATTATTTCGACGCAATTTACATTTTCATGTAACTTGTCGCACGGAATTTGATACGATTGAAACAGCGTTAAAATCAAATGATTAAGATACTGAAAATCGAGCAATGGATCTTGACATAGTCGGCAGTACCGCCGTATAATCTTCGAGTACTCTTCTCGCAGTCTCGTTGTCCGTATTACTAGTAGTGTTTGTCGGTCTCATACAGCGTACTAGTTCTCGTGCTTTCATAGCGCAATCGACGTTTTGCTGTATCGTATTCGTCGAAAATATTTCGAACGCATAATCCAATAATTTCTCAACGACGCAATCGAGCATCGTGTCTTTCGGTATTTCCCCGTAGCCGCTCTCGGAGCATTCTTTTATGACCACGTTCATCCATCCCCAATCCTCCCAATCCTCGCTATATTTCACATGCTGATTCTCTAATTGCCATATTAAATGTGCACGAAATCTATAAATTAAAGAGAAGCTGTATAGGGGGTAGAATGATAGGAAGGACCTACATTTTTACTCAAACCAGTGTTATGAACACAAGATGTATGCGTAATAGAGTTCTTAAGCGCATGTTTGATAACAAGGTCAGAAGAAGGCGTACGCGTCTCATATTTTTTCACAACTCGTTTTAAGTTACCGGTAATAATGGAGTTCCGAAGATACTTACCCCCAGCTCAACGGGTTCTTCTCGAACTTCACACTTTTAAGGTTTTGCAGGTACGCGAACATACCGTAGTCGATGAATCTGATTTGATTGTAATCGAAATAGAAGTTTCTCAAATTGGGAAGCAATTGGAAAACCCCGTAGTCGATTACCTCGATCGAGTTGAACGACAAGTCGAGCGTTTTTAAATTGTACATATTCACGAACCAATCTCTGTATACGTATTTTAGTTTATTTCCCCACAGTAGTAAATTCTCCAGTTTCGTGAGGCCTACGAACGCGAAAGAATCTATGGTCTCTATGCCTGATCCATGTAAATCCAGAGTTACGAGTGTCGCGCCAAATCTTGCAAAACTATGTCTGCAAATAAACCGTCCGCATTAAACTCTTAGGCATCTTTCATTTTTAACGTTCCTTTGTTCAACTTCTATTCGTTCCCCATTTACCTAACGCGATTAATCTTTCATGGAGCAAAATTGACACAGTCGAATAAACCTTTTTATCAAAAAGGAATTTCAGTACGATCTTAAAATGAGTTAAATGCATTAACCAACTTTTAAAACCATAATCGTGTTAGTTTCGTAAACTGCATCGTAACTTTTCTCTGTTAAATGTATTCGTAACGGCACAAATTATCTCGAGCACCTCACTCTTTTTCACGAACTCATTGTATTAACTTTTCTGTTATATTCTACCCAGCAACAGACAAGGCCTGTTTAATTATTACGATTTTATTCTTACCCTGAAATATGTGCTATTTTCGAATCCGAGATTTCGATACTGGTAGAATTCGTATAAGCCCTCCCCAATTCCAGCAAATTCATTAGCTCCGTGCAGAAGAACGTTACGCTCTTATCTCTCTGGTTGGTAATGGTTTGACAATTGATCGGGCCGGCTACGGCGCTTGCCAATAGATTAAAGATGAAAAATGCGTTTAACAGTCGGTCCATGGTTCGTGCGAGGCAGAAAAGAACCGACGTGGAGCACGAGCGTTTAATTAACTGAACATTCACGATATACGTACCCCGTACGATGCGCAACTAAATAGCGTGGGCGGCGGCGGCGTATCCTGCGTTTCTCTTTCCTCTTTCGATAACGGAATCAAACAATGCGATTGAAAAAGTCTCTTCATATTTCATGTAAAAATTACGCTATAATATTTCAGTATCTTCCATCATATACGATGTTTTGATCGTATTATTGGTTTTATTATAGAATTCTATTTTCTTCAGCAATTATTTCACGATCGAATAAAATTCAACTCGATGGTAAAGAATCAGAATAAAAGAAAAAAGGGAGGACCAAGCAGTACGACTCAGCAGTATTATGATTATATTTCATACTATCAGTACTCGACCATTTTTAAATTGGCAATGATTCGATTACTGTAATAAGATAAGGGTAATGGAAAATACAGTATTTATTAACGGCAAGCCGTCTTTAAGACGGTTGCACTGTTGCACGTGTCGGGGTGGATACGTAGGGAATGTACGGTCTAGTTCTTACGAGTTGTCGACATTCGGAACCTGTCAAAGGATTCGCCCTTCGCGTCGCGGCCGATGTACGAAGTCACGATATATGAAGAATTCACGATCAGTAATGCGTATATGGTAAAAACAACGTTTATTGTCATACATATATACACGGATACACAACTCAGACGTTAACATCAATAAACAATACATTCATTGGTAATGAGTACGTTCATGAACCGGTGATCGAGTGCGTGACAGTGGGACACGTTCGTTCGTTCGATCGCATTCAGCCCTGAACAACCGATTAATCTAACGAATTTGTGGAAAGGCAACGAACAATTCGACTTCGTTCCTCTCAACAGTTTTCATCAACATGCACGCGCGCAAGATATCCACATGAACGATTAACGTTCTCATCCGGTTCGAGAATTAACTGTACATCCCTGTTTTGCGATAATGCGATATGATGCGGGAGATCGAGTTACAAATCTATCGGTTCATTAAGGTGAAGGTAGTAGTCCAGCTACGTTCCTACTCAAAAATTACTACCCTGTAGTAGCGTTTGCTTGTTGCTGTCGTTTCTCACACGGTGGGCAAGAAAGTATTCAACCTGATTGTATGTACACATTCACCATAAGTTATGTATGTATACACCAATACTGACAAAGTGTCGAGAGCATGGAAGTTTGGCAATATTGCATTCTTTATACACGTATAGTGATTGCTGCGTGCGTATTCTCGCACTCTCTCAACACACGGCAGAACTGATATTCTTCGAGTTCAGTATTGCCAGATTTACTTACTATCATTTCGCTCGTGTATCTTCTGCTAGAAATTCGTACAAAGTTCTGTGCTTTACAAGTTCTTAAACGATACCGCTGAGATAATTTATTTTTTTAATATAATTCAATATCAACATCCTTTATAACATATTAGTTCTTTGAAAAAATGGTGAGACGCGTTTAGCTGCAATACATCAACCGTTGCTTTAAACTTTACCTAACATAGGGATCCCGTTAAAAATATCAAAACTTTAATGATTGATACCTCTCAAACTGTACCGCTAGGCGGTAGGTTCTTAAAATTTTAGCTAGTGGTAAATAATGTTGTTACTAAGACTTGGTCAAAATTATAACAAAATCGCGTGAAAAGTATTTTGCTGGACTACTACCTGTACGTTTTCATCCGGTTCGAGAATTAACATCCCTGTTTTGCGATAATGGGATATGATCCAAGAGATCAAGTTACAAATCCATCGGTTCGTTAAAGGTACACAACGTTCCCTTTCGCGTTCATCCGGTAGCAACGGTTCGCGAGTGACTTATCGGTGATCGATGATTGTTTTATCGACTTGTCGTATACAGCTACAGTTTATTGTCATAAAAACCATTTCGTTATGTACACCATAGAACGACATACACCGGTATGATATGCGTTTTACACGGTCATACGCGTGAACAACATCTATATAGTATAGTCCGGGGTATTGTGCGTGCACTTTACTACACGGTAGAAGCGTCGCTGACGATTTCTCAATGTAGATGAAAGGAAAGGAAGAATGATAGGAAGAGGAAGACCATGAAAACGTTTTCGAGGAATCCGGGCTTTTCAACGTAAAATTCGACGAATGCTAATTGAGGTGGAACGAGCTCCTCAGGAGATACAGATTTTTTTTCGTTCTCTTCTCTCGAATCCCTACGATGGAACGTGATTTGTACTCTTATCGTACATTCGATACAGCCGTTTTACGAGCTATAGATCACTATCACTAGGAAAGCGAGCATTAATCCTACGCGGTTTAATCGCGAGTGTCGTCGCAGCGACGTGACGCTGTTCCGAACGTTCTGTTGAGTCGGAGCGAAATGCGCTGGCGCAGGTGCCGGTGCCGGATATGATGAAGCTTTTGATTTTTTCACCGTGTCATCCATCAACGCGTTCGAACTGTTTCTTCTTAACACGGACGAAGTGTGACCCATTTTTCCCCTGTTTTTCGACAGCGAGCCATCACCCCATTCGAAATAGAGCTTCCCCTTTGGTTTCGTCGGATTGTACCTGTTGATGTTGATGAATTCTGTATGGTGTCGAGCAGGTTCTGAGGTAGTCCTTATTAAATGCAACTCTGAAATCATACCGTAGAAACCATTTCACTCGCCAGATCTGATAGACGTTAACTCTGTTATTAGATTGAAAAGAGATAGCTGAGTGCGGTTCGAGGTCCGAAAATTGAGCTTACGAAGCTTTTACCCTTTCGACTCCTATACCAGGTCGCGGGAACGTTAACGGATATCGAATTATATACGGGAAATATATATCAGCGAATATAATTGCTTGCCACGTGGGGAATGTACCGGGCGTAGCCGCGTAAAACGATCCGAATCGCGAACGACTTCACGGATCTAACTGAACTAGAAATTGGAAGTCGAACTCGGTCCGTTACCTTGCAGTCTTATCGTTCCTTCAGCTTTACCGAGCAGATTTTCCGCCGCGCAGGTATAGCTGCCGAAGTCATCCCTGTTTAATCTCCTGATGGTCAGGTTCAACTGATACGCGTAATCGCTCAACGGCGTCTCTGTTAAATCATGTTTCTCATCCGATAACAATTTGAAACCTGCAATCGTTCGATATATTCGTTTAAACGTAGTTTACGTTCTTACAGTTACAGTTATCGCTGGTTTTATGTTGCTCAAAGTTCGAGCCGTTGTCCGTTATAGAGATCGGAACATTTAGATACGTATTTGTTAGCGAGGTAAATAACGTGTACCATTCGATATTATATCCTTACCATTGTTTCTGTACCATGTATTCAGCGCCTTTGGCCAAGATTCGACGTAACAGTGAAGAACAACATCACTGTCGACAGGTGCCGCGACTAATTGGTTCGGGACTTTAATCAGCGGTTTAACTGCGTCAGGGAGAAAACTATAATTAATCATTGGAAGTTTGTCGGATGACTAGGGGTTGACCCGTAAATTTAACGGGCGCCGGTTCACTTACATCGCACGTTCACGTAATACCGTTTGCTGACCGTCGGCGGCACACCGTTCGACGCGATGCAAAGATAAGAGCCCATCTCCTGCCGTAGTATACCCGTCAGGCGAAGCTCCTCCCCTTCGTACGACTTTACTGCGTGAAGCATTTTCAACGGGTCACTTGAAATGCTCGCGACGGAATTTTACCTACTATATATTCATATTTCTGTTCCGCTTTTACTGTTCCCGTTCGTCCGGTAATTTTACTTTTATCTATTCACGACGTTCCCCATAGACCAAGTATCGATATTTCTGTTTTACATTACTAATCTCGTTCAAGAATCAATATTAACATTTTCGTTCATGAATTAACTTTAATACAATCTCGGTCGCAAATACAATTCAACTTTCACAGTCGGAATCTCTACTCTGCTATCCTCTTTTAAACTTTAAATGATAATTTTATGTGGTCATGTTCGTAATCGAGTTAGCCTATGTGAACGGTTTGAAAGTTCTTTCTTTAAACTGCGGCTGCGGCCAAAAATATTCCAGTGAAAACAAGTCAGATTTGCATATATTACGGGTATCTACGTGTGTATTAAACTTTTCGTTTTAACGTCATTGTTAATGCAACGACTTGGAAAACCTTTTTTCCCGATAGTCTGCTGCGGTATCTGTAGCTCGTCGTCGAACGCTGTTTAATCGTATTCCGTTTTAATATACCGTATATCGCTTTTATTGCGGTATTCGACGAACCCATGGGAAACGACGGCGGCGGTTCGGTTGAGCTCATTAAGGGATCCGAAACAACGAGAGTACTCCCTCGTGATACGTTTTGGGGAAGATCGTCGGAATCGCCGGGCATGATATAGATTCTGAGTGGTAGACACTTTCGCGGCGCAGTGTACACAGCGAATATTGCAATCGGGTATGCGAATCGATGGGGTCGGCGAAGAGGAAATATATGTAAAGTCAACATCCATCACTCACTGTTAGAAAGGCTAATCGGCTGGCTGATTTTCTACAGAACGCGATGGACCGTTCACGCTTTTACGTTGATACGTTCAACGAACGCAACGTCTCGTTGCGTGCATGAAAATGCGTGAATCACCTTACGTTTACACGTTCGCGTAATTCTTCTTACCACCGGGAATAATTCTTCATTTTAGAAACTAATATTTCTGATCGAAATCTGTTTGCGTTGGCAAACTGTTAGAACGAAATGAAATTTCATCAACCCTATATCACATTATCAGTGACGTTAAATAGATATCGAACCTGCTTCAGACGTGGATTGGACGAACTAATTTTAGTTAGTCGATCAAACTGTTAACAGTGATAATATTTGAAAACTGTTACCTCGTTGGACACTGTGCTCGGTTCTCAGAGTAATATTCCGTCCATCTTCCCGCTTCCAGGTGATTACTGGCTGCGGCGTTCCCGTGGCTCGACACCTCAATCGCAAATCACTATTCTCTTCGGCCGTTAGATCGGCAGAACCGTCTAAATCGACGATGTCCGGTGGTATCACCACTTTCATGTGTCCCGTCTGCGCAAACACAGTCACCGTATCGTTATTAACAATAATTGTGCGTCATCGAAAAAGGAACCGTGATTCGTCACTCGTACAAACCGTTCCCCTTTTTCCCCATTTAAATCAAGCTCAACGCACGAATTCGAAACCTCGGCAAACACGGCAGCTCGGCCGGAGACTTGCCTTTAATCTAGGTTTACTATCAGTAAAAAATACACGTACCATGGGGTTACTAGCCGTGACACAACGAAACGAATAACCCGGTACATGCGCCTCCTTTTTTTATCTCGTCCGCGCCGCGTCGTCCTTCCGTACGAAATTTCGCATTCAATTTTGTCGATGTTATCGCAAGTTTTATCCTTTCGATAGTAATATTTTCGACGTGTCAACCGTGTTGCGACCAATCGACGGTAATACAACGACGTTATCTATTAATTCTCCCCCTTCCCTGTCCACGTCCATATCGTACATAATATCGAAACAATTAAAATCGAAGTTGAGAGTGGCAATCATACGATACGTATCGTTAAAACGTTGTATAAATTCGTACAAAACGAGTCAATAAGAGATGTTACGTCCGAAAAATTGTTCAACGATTTTCTCAAAACGTGCTACGTGCGAATTTATTGTTGACGAATGCACACGTATCCCTAAGCCTCGTAATACGATCAGTTGCCTACTGAATAATTTAAAATAACATTGGTTATTGACTCGCACGGTGCGTATAGTTACCGAATGGATATGCGTAGGTGCAGGGAATAACGGAGAGGAAGACGTACTAACATACTAACCTGACTTCTCATGGGATCTGTATTAACTTGACACATGTACGTGCCAGAATCGTTCGGTTGGACGTTGGTCACGTGCAGTTTCCATGTGTTATGTCCGTTGTGAGTGACAGACAACCGTGGATTTTGAGCGACCATGTGCGTATGAATGGCCAGGATAGCTTTGGAGTCGGACTTCATCCAAGCGACCTGCATAATACAATCACGCACGGGACATGAACGTTTCTCGCAGTTTCAGCAGCCGATTACAAACCGCGATTCGCGCCCGCATTACTTACACCGTTCGCCCCTTATATGTATCTGTGTTATATCGCTGTATCCCAGAATTAGTTTATTATGGATGATACTTGTTGGTTCTGTCTGTCTGAAGCTGAGAGCGAGAGGAATACAATGCATACGTATATCTACGTGCCGGTAATACATCCTGAGAGGTTCCGGGAGGATGGAGGGTGCAATAAGAATAATGCGCTTCTCGCTTGAATCTACCAAGACTGATCGCCGGATGTTGCCGCTTTAGTGTCTATTGAACGCTGCGAGGCGCCTTGGTTACTTTCTTGATTAGACAGTTAAACCTGCGCCCGTTAGATCAGCCGCATTTAAGGAATCGTTCTTGTTACGCTTCCCTCGTTACCTTGTAATCGTTTACGAGCTATGAATAATAAATTTCGAAAGGTACGTCTCTCAACGGACAAAAGAGAGACGTAAATAGATGTGCGCGTAATATTTAACAGAGTAGCGGATGCTTAAAGGGACGTGGATTTTTGTCGTAGGATTTGCATCGTTGGTTACGCGCGGCGAGGAAAAAGTAGACAAGTTTACTTTTCGCTGGCTGTTACGTAAAGATAAACCAAAATTATTTACGCACGCGCGAATTACATATTTTAAACGACGTACAGGAAGAAGTTTCTCCCAACGCGAACGTAAAATGTTCTCTCCGATTTCCTCCCGTTGCCTCCTGCATTCATGAATCCCGACATAAATGCGCCCGTTAAGACTAGCAACGTAAATATTATACTGCAATAAAAGAGAGGCGCTCGCAGAAAAAAGGCTCGCGTTACGGTGTAACTCAACTCTCGTTCTCCATTTGTTGTTATCGCGAGACGTACAATAGAAGAACGTATTCGTCCCTTACGACTATTTGTAGGAAAAAGTTAAATCGTTGTACCTACGTAATACAAAACGGGCAATTTCACGCGTGAGCGAATATCGATCAGGAACCGGTGCCGATCGTGATCAGCCCGTTATGTAAATCTCAAAATTCATTTGTACGCGCAACCCCCCTGAAACGTAATTATTTACTTGAGGATCCTGGCGCAAGTGAATGAACACTGTTATTGGATTCCAGGATTCAAATTCCAATCGGTGTTCGTACTTCCCGTTTGGTCTCGTTTGTACGAACATGCATACTTCCTGCGCGCTCGATCTGTCGTATTTCAAACGACGGTTCCATTCAACGGGGGGTGAAAGGGCTTTTAAATCGTCGGGGACAAAAGCGGCGTTTTGATCCAACGGCAATGGAATTTAAGGTGTTCATAAATAACGCTGATGGACTGTTCTGGCCGACAGAATAATCCTACCTGTTGGCGGAAAGAATTTTTACGCAAACAATCAACGATCGAATCACCGCGAATACGCCGCAGCCTCATACACGTACGTACGTTACGTACGGATGTACGGATGTACGGATGTACGGAATGTACGCTGGTGTTCTAAAACCGAACACGTGCCGGATCGATGCGACGCAGCGAACGTTTAGAGCAATTACTCTAAACGAATCGTTTCTCGGGAAATCTTGATCCGGGAGGCGGCGTAATACCCGCGTGAAATGACGCGAAACATAATGGATTCTCGACATCCATCTTTTGTCTTCGCTATCCGATACGAGAGATCGTTCGCGTAACAATTTTCTCCGTATGAAATTTGTTACAGCGTCGTACCTTTAACGCTCTGACCGTCTCATCCGTATCTAGGCGATGCATAACTTTTCAGAGATGAGTCGAAGGTGGTTTTATCTATTCGAGCATCGGGATTCAATCAAATATCATTTTTGACACGTCGAATATGTATCCGAAGCTGGAAACTGCTTTAAAACGTTAAAATAAAAGCGGACGCTGAGAAAAGAGGGCGAAAGCGAAACGAGGGGTGGTTTCCGAGTGGCAAAAATCAGATCCATTCATGTTGTACGCTATATTAGCGACTCTGATTTATGTCTCTTCTTTTCGGGCTTCCTTTCTTTTCCCCGGGTACTTCCTGCTCGCTGTAACATTCGAATTCCCTATGCTTCCACTTTTCCCACTTCTTCTTCTTCTTCTTCTTTCCATCGGTACTGTGTCCTTTTCCATCCCTCGTACACGGTAGTACGAAATCCTCTGAACACGTGCCAAGACCGTTTCATCTCGCGATAGAAGCGATTGTCGATTCGAGCGCGCAATCAAACTTGGACTTCTTCTCGAAAGTGAATTTCTCGGCGGGTTCGTCCCGCAAGGAGCGGTGGACAGAGAGAACCACCCCGAGCGTACGGACCGAGGAGAGTGCGAACCTACGTATTTTGTTACCATCTGCACCGCGTATGTACATTTGATTCGCGTTTCGATATTCTCTCATCCGTTAATGCGCAGAACATAATGTACAGTGCAAATACACATTCCTGTGTCTGCACTTTACGTTATGTTCTATGCATTAACGGGTGAGAGAATATCGTTCACATATCGAGCTTTGGCAACAATACGTGTATACTTTACTCGGTTAACGCAATACGGTCTAGTCACGGTAACTATTTACGGAAGTACGATTTAGGCCGGCACTTACGTTTTCGAAGCGTTGCCCTTAATCGACTTACTAATTACATCGTGACACGTGGATGCAATTACCTTGTAAGATTGAAGATGATTAACGACGCAAGTGAAGGAGACGTCACGACCTTGAATGACCGTATGGTTCTCCAGGAGTGCTAGAAATTCTGGCTGGACCTCGGATTTTGGCATCGCTTGACCTACGGGGCCACGATGTGTAATTAACGATCGTCGAATTAATGATCCGTCGGGTTTACATCTAATTAGCACTGGTCAGCTTTAGATATGCGTTCGGGCCGGGAATAATATCGTACGATTCCATTGGACGTTTACCTTTACCCGTTCATTGTTTCTGCCGGATATTGATTTATTTAATCTTTTACATCTCTCGACAGCGAACAGCTTAATCTAGCTCGTCATGCATATAGCCCCCCCAATGCAGATTCACGGTGACTGTACTCGGTAAAGTTATGGGGCAATAATTCTTTCCCGGCGGCTATTCAGATTTAGTTTCTCCACCTCGTCCGATGCGCTTTTTGTGTCGCGTGGCACGTGGACGTCGGGTGGCCGAGGGGTGAAAAAGGAAGGAGAACAGGGCGTCGTGTAACGCGAGACGTTTATTAACCGTATCAAACTCGTGAACGTCGCACACTCTGACACCTTATTAAATAATAACAGTTCCGTGCCTGGAACCAGACGGGAAGAGGAGGAGAAAAAAACGAATTCGAGGCTGGTGTTACGCCTTTGTTGCGCGTAAACGGACGATGAAACGTGAAATTGGATATCAAACGAATATTTCGGTGCAGGAAACAAGAGCGGAGGGTAACGTTTAGCCGGTGGTGGGGCCGTTGTAATTTCTTCCCCGCGTTCACCTTGTGCGCGGGAATGCTTTTACGGAAGCTCCCAGAGACTTCCGATAGTGCTTTTAGGGGAATTTTATTTGATTCTTACCGAAAAGTGGAGCAAGGAAACGCCGCGCGGAAAGGAAAAGAGAAGTGCACGATGCTATTACAGATACAAGAGGTTCGTTCGTATCATTTTGTAGGGATTAAAAAACTTGTAACTTTTGCGCCCCGTGCTCCGACCAATTCAAACTTGTTCTCCCACTCGGCCCGCTTGCCTACAGCTCTACCTCTCTCGTCGCTGTAATTGGGTGAGGAGTTCTACTGCCGACGATTCTAAAGGAAGAATATCTCATTTGATTTCTTACCGAAACTCGAGTAAAGGAAGGCGGCCAGTAAGAAGCACAGAACAATGTCCTGCGGTGCCATACCATAGAGTGAGCCATACGCCATACGTTCTGCAACAGAAATCGTTTGGAACGATATGTATAATTTAAAACTTCTGAACAAGCGTATCGCGTTTATTGAACTATTCGAAATATTCGTCATTCACAAATAATCATTGAGAAGAGCTGTGCCTATTAAAGTTCGCTACGTTCTCTACTACGTGTTATCGCAGTCCCTACGCGAATCCCATAACTTTCCGTTTTCTCATGAAACAACACTACCGATAGCGCAATAATATATCAATCGGCCTGAAAAGGTCAGCGAAGAATCGAAGACGCATAATGCGACGGGCGGAAAGGGGGCCGGCAAAGTCAAGAATTTCGTACGGCTGTCCACGTTCAGCAGGTTCGGGTAGGGTGGGCAGCGGCGCGGGGTCAAGCTGGATCGCGTGAATATTAACTCGACAGTTGGTCGCCACATAAACGCCAACCGTTGATATATCCCGTCCTCACCCTCTAGCACCCAGCACCGCAATAATACTCGAATAGTGGGCGCCTGCTGCCTCCGCTCTTCCCTTTTCAGCCACCCTTCGCCGAATATTCGCCGCCGAGCCGCCGCCGTTACCGCCCCAACGAGTACGAGGAATACGCACACTCGCGCGAGTACCGCGCGGCGTTTGCACGTTCGTGCCAGCGGAGAGGCCCGACTAAATGAAAATTTCGCTCGTGTCGATGCCTGGCCCTTTATGACTCTGGGCCACGTTCACTTTGCATTCCTGAAAATTACGCGGCGGCTCTGGTTTAACTTAAATAACTCCCTAACCGACGCGTCAGTTTCATTCAGCGATAGGGTGCCGTGTTTCCTTCGGGGGATGGGAAGCCGCAGCAATCCGTTTTATACATATTTTCATTCGCCCGATGACCGATCGCGCAACTCGTGGGGCTGCGTGGGCGGACGCTATATTAGTCGGCCCCGGGAAAAAGCCCGCAAAGTGGCTGATATCCTGAATATACATAGAATGAATTTATAATTAATTGCTTGTTCAGCGAGTTTCATTAACACCTCGAGCTCCTCGAATGGCGCTGTTACTGAAGCGCTTAACACACTTCGCGCCACGCTGTTTTTGCGAGATCTTAGTTATAGCTGGTAACGCTACAATTTAGTTTGTTTGCTCAGATTTTTTATTCGTTTCCTTACAACAGCTGGTTCGTGGAGATTTCCAACTATCACATTACATTAATCCCTCGTGTTTACATTCAACATGTTTGAAATGTTCACCGTTCTTTCTGGCGTTTTTCAACTACACTCGCGTCACGATCAGTTCGCGCATAAATTGAAGCCTTTCTTAATATTTCAAAAGGATTGTGCGGTTGTAACCGTGGGCACAATATCGGTGGATAAAAAAAATCTGTCGCGTCAGACGATAATATAGTCTGAAATATTAAAAGGAATTTCTTTCCGTGTATGATAAACACGGCGGGGATGTACGGGGGCAGCGCGATATGTCAGTGACAAATGCAATGGCACGCGTATATTCGACGGTACAGAAGGGGGCGGGAAGGCAAATGAAAATGCGCGTGAGTCTGTACGAAGTTAAACCTTTAAAAATTCGACCACGCTTTTCTTCCGTGCGTATATGTAAAACTCGGACGAACGAAAATTACGCCGGCATCCGACCTGACTCGACGCGACGCTGTGAACCACGACGGCTACGGCATGCATACATATTCCCGGTTAAACAGTCCTGCGAAAGTGCATCGCGTTTCACCGGACTGCTGCTTTTTAGGCGGATATAGTATACGAGGCAGTCAAGTACCGGCCATCAGCCAGCAACCACTTCTTTTTTTTTCGTTACCCCCTTTTCGTTGTTTTTACAATATTTACAGCAGGGCAACATCGTAACTGAGACAAGAGAAAAAGCTTTTAGCGATTACACTTCCGCGTGGCGGTTCGCCTGAGACAGGCGAATCGTCGCGAATGTCGACGCGCTGCAAGGACTAAGCGTAATTAGCAACCGTTTCACGGTGCCGCGTGAAAGAAGTAAAGAATCCTCCATGCTACGGAGTCGGAGCAATTCATCGAGTTGCAAAATTGTGGCTACTGCTCGATTTATATTCGATCGATATTAAACAGAAATCCAGTCGGGATGTAAACTTAAACTTCTTGCTTTGTCATGCGCTTCGTTTAAAAGACTGTGGAACATGACTTACATTGTTATCAACAACTTTCATCCATCTTTCGACGATGTGCTTATCCAATTGCGGTAGAAACTTCGTAACTCCAGCAGGGTAAAGTAACCGATACGTTTTCGAAGCTTGTCAACTGCGTTGATGTGTTGTCAATGAAATATCGAGTTAAAAGCTCTTTGTAAAGTATTCAACTAAACGGCAGAGTAAATGGGCGGGCATAATATTTGTGCCACGTAGCATTGATAAAATCTTGCACGGATTCCATTTACATGATACCGCAAAGCCACGAAATTCTTTCTTATTACGCGGAGTCAAGATAGCGTACGATTGTACATCAAGAACGGATCGATAATTGTTTCTATTGTTTAACCGGAGGATTCCGGGCGCATCTCAAGCCCTCGTATCATGGAACCGACATATTATGTACAAAGCAGATGTTTTGAACGTAGAGCCATTTATCTGGAACGTGAATATAATTAAACGCAAAACAGCGTCACACGATCTTTTGAATATCCATCATTAGTTGTACCACAGCAAATTAAACATCGAAACACCAATTCCCGCACGGAGCATACATTTGCACGTCCGTCCGAACTGTATACGCAGAGAGTATTATAAACGCGCGCACGAGAATTGCATCCCGTATTACCAAGAGAATAACAGGCAACGAGTGTCTCTCTGCGGGGTCCCAATGAGCTGTTCTGTTGGTCACTTCTGACTCGAAGGAAACTGGACGTGGTTTGGTTACCAAAAGCATCTTTGATTCTCTGCATAAAGTCCGCCTCTCTGTCTATCTCTCCTCTCTGAATATCACGTAAAATGATCTTCCCGTGCATAATTACTAGCCGCATATCAATATTCTGATATACCCGACAGCGTGGCAGAGACAGAAGACGAGACGTGTGTAATACAAACATGTGGCGTACATCTTTAATGTCGTATCCTTTATTCGAGGGTGGAATGTGACCAAACGCGTGACGTTAATGCAAAGTTTCGCTTTTCCCAACGTACGATAATTAGAGAAGCGAAATCTCTGGAAAGTTTCCTGACCACTTCCACAAATTTCCACGTAATGGTACTTAGGTTGGACAGGTGCACCGTGTCCTGAGATAGGTGCGGTAAAAAATACTTCGCCCGCACACACACGGGAACGAACGGCACCGGGTACCAGGCACATAAAGTGCGTCTGGAAAGCTTCGAAGTCTGTTTGGAAGATCTTAAACGTTAGAGCTTAACCGACACCCACAGAGGTACAAGGAGAACGGTTCGGTAAGAGAGTACCGAGATGTCTAGGCGAAAAGAAAGTAAGGGAGGAAAAAAGGAAAGGTAACTTCGGCTGTATCACACACACAACACGGCCCGTCTCTCCTTTCTTTTTCGCTTCTTTTTCTTTTCCTCTGGCTCTTCGCCGTTCTTCCATCTTCGTTTTTTTTCCCCTCCTTCCACTATCCTGACTTCTGTAGCGCGAAAGGAAATAAGAGTCGCTCCATGGCATCGTCTATCCGTTCATTTTACCAGGTTTGCTGTCGGAGCTATTACTTACGAGTTTCCACTTTCCTTCACGGATCTACTTCTCCGTCTTCACATTCTCTGCCACCACCTCCTCCGTTCCACTGCCTCTCTTTCTATTAACCCCAACTATATTCCATCGTTCTCCATGGTATCGCACTCACATACACTTAAAAACTGTACACGCTCCTCGAGCACTCTCATCGAATGCTTTCGGTCGAAGCTCCTTAGTTCTTCTCGC